TAGTTGCAAGGATCTAGCATAAAGGTTATTGCCTTAGTAACAGTACCGCTGCCACACAAAGAATCTCTTATCCCACAGCACATGACAGTTAACTCAGATGTTTATGTAAGATGGGACTCAATAGATCAATTCTGACCTGCTAAGCCCTGCTTTGTTGCTGCTTTGAGAATTTGGAGATCCCAGCACCCCTAGGCCGCCCAGGAGCAGCTGTGCCGGTATCTGCTTCTGCAGGCAGACATGCCACCGGGCCACCTTCTCAACAAGACTCTAGCTGCAGTGCAAGGAAATAGTTTCCAACCTCAGTTAATCACTAAAGCAGGATCCTGCTCCACCTTCTGTCTCTAGTACAGGCTATGACATCCTTCATACCTATCTATAATTTACTGTGTTTTGGCTATATTAAAAGCCCTCTGTAGATGTCTACAGGTTTGGTTAAGTTAGTGAGTTAAAGTGTATAAACAGCACACAGCTAGAAAGCAGAGTCGTTGCCCACGTTAACAATAAAAATCAGTCCCAGCATAAAAATCAGACTGGGTATTTTCATTCAGGAGCACGTGCTTGGCTTTCTGGATTGGTTTGTTTTGTTTTTTTTTTTAAATGTCACCCTAGACCAAGTGATGGCACAGAGTGGCATGCAAAGTAAGCCCCAGCTTTATAATTTGCAGGTGGCATTCTTAAGAACAGAATTCAGTTTTTAGTCACATTTGTTCAGAAAGAAAAGCTGCTTCCTCACCCAAATCGGTACGCCTACAAAGGTAGACAAAACCAAGGCTGACTTGAAAAATTAGAGTAATATCAAGGTAAGAACTTAGAAACTGATAGCAATTCACTTGGGAACGAAGCGGAGATCCTATTTGTTGGCCTTCAAAAGAAAGACTATTCAAATAAAGATGGGATACTTTCAAAAAGCCAATCTAACCTCTCAAATTATGAAAGGGGATGTGCAAACTGCTTAATCTAAAAGGAATTGTGTAATCCACCTTTCCATTGGGAATTAAAGAGATCTTTCAAATACAAGAAGAGAATTAATAGCACCTATTACTGCGACAAGGTAGAGCTGATCAGCCTTACTGCATGATTTCTAATTGCACTGAAGCAGACAGAGCGCTTTTGAAATTCATTTAATACTGAACAAATCCTTACGGCTTGTTTTGGTTAAAGAGCATTTTTTCTCTCAGGTGCTCCCTACGCTCATCTTAATAGACAGATAATTTATTGCACCTACAGAAGCCTGGTTACACCAGTGGCACCTCCCACCTTTACTTAGAGCACCAGAAAAATATAAGTATGATGAGCAGATTAAATCAAGTTGTCAAGTGACACCTGACAGATAACACAGGAGTCTACCAAATTCCTTCAACACCTCAAACTACAGAAATTATCCACGCAGCTCATCCAGATTCACTGCTGTACAATATGCCATATATTCCCTGACTAAGATGGAAGGCCAGAGATGCA